AATTTAATTTAAAAATCTTAATTAGAATTTCATATTATTTTCATTTTAATGCCATTTTAATGTTGTCATTTTTTATATTATTTCCATTGTTGCTATTTCCTTAAGTTTTATTCTGCGGAATATTTTTTTCTCTACCTTTGAATTTACATAAAATTCAAAAAAATAAACTTCGTTTTTGAATTAATAAATTGCAAATAAACCTTTAAAATCGCATACAAAATCACATTTTATCACACGCATGTGTGTAAACTAAAAATTGTACAATATTTGCACAGCATTATACAAAAAACCGCAATCTCAAAATATTTGTCCGGAGCTTTACTTCATTATACTCTTAATGTTCGTATAAAATATTCGGAATTAATTAATATACAATTTATAGTTTTTTTTCTTTAAATTTTAAAAAAACTAGTTATAAACTATAAAGTTGCAATTTATTTTTAATAAAGAAAAAGAACTTGATATTTAAATTACTAGTGTCGCACATGCCAATATTTGCAAACATAAGCAATCTAAAGCTTTGGCTTGAAAAAAAAAATACAAGAGGAAGCCGGTTTTATTGTAGAACCCGGTTTTTGTTATATATTTATAAATTTTACATTTTTTAAAAGTTATAATCACTTATAATCGCGTATCAATATTTTCATATTTATGGGTTAGAAAGTTATTGTGAAAACATTTTACTTGTAGCAGGTATCTATATTACTGGTTTGAATATTTAAGTATCTACATATATAAAAATTCGACCTTGATTTAATTTTTCTAACACAATAAAATTTCAGGCATAATTATATGACATTTTCCCTGTCAGATTTTAAGCTGCTTGACTATTATAATTTTAAAATTCTTTTGTATAACTTCTGAGGTAAAAGCAAACAATATTTGCAATTATTTTTTAATTTGTTTAAAAAAGAAATTGTATTTTTTTAATAGTTAAAATGAAAAAAGAATTTTGAAAATAATTCTTAATTGTGTTTCTAACAATTTATTTAGTTTCATTTTATTAAAACAGAGTGGATTAAGTCTATACGTAAGAATTGAGTATTGCGGAGGTGGAGGACGTGCAACATATTTCTTGTGCCTATCCGTTTCTAATGCAGAAAAGGAGATCAATCTTGGGAGGTTGTCTTTTACGAAAGTTTGTAGAACTACCGGGTGAATCTTAGGCGCGATTCTTGAGACTCCTTTAGAAAATTAATTGGTTTCGTTTAATCCTTTTGGGGCTCTTATTTCTCCCGGAGCTTTCTTGTTAGCTTATTACGTCGACCTCGCTACACCTCCCTCTATTTAAGAATTAAGTTTTCTAGTTATTGAACATATCTTTATACAAAATTTTAAAATTTATTTAAAAATTTAATTGGAAACAGTAGGTTTTATATTGCATGTAGATTGCAAGTGGAAACAATTGCATATTTCAACTATATATTTATTTTGAACTTATATTTGAACATTTTCAAAAGCAATATTAAGCAAAGCTTTTTGAACACCTTGCAGTTCGGAATGGTATGTGCATACGACAGTACCTTTATATTATCAAAGACTATAATAATTCTTACCTGCATACATATATACAAACAAAACATATTTAAATTCACAATTAGAAAATTTACACGCAAGACACGCACTCATAAAACAAAAAATTCATATATAATCTCTTTAATGAATAAAAAAAGAATATTTTAACTTTAATTAAAAAGTTTCAAGCTAATAAAACGGCACGAATATACGATTAAGACTTCCTCTTTTCACAAGAATACACCTCAATATAACCTTTGTAATACATATATGAAAAAATTTAGCTTTGAAATTCTTCTGTCTCAAAATAGTGTAAATTTTAATTTCAATAAATTAAAAAAAAAATATTATTACATTTTTTTTATGTTTCTTAAAAAATCATTAAAAAGTTTTCTTAAAATTTTATCATGTCAGCGTTTTGATACACATCGCATCCAAAATTTTATAAATCATAATATTTTGAATAGATGCTACAAGCATTGTCATTATAGTGATGGCATGATGTTACCAAATATTTAATATGTTTGGTACATGTTTTTAATAACACAAATTCTCATTTACGTTATTGTGTACATGGCAAAACATTTCCTGGTATAATATTATAAAAAAATCTTTAATTAAAAAAATATTTCTAAACTTTAACTGGGTTCATTTATTATTTTTTGTAAAAAAAATATTATTTTCATATTATTTTGAATGATTTTGTCTAGTCCTATAATAAAATTTTATGAATTAAAATTATTTATCAATAATATTTAGGTTAGTTTATCAATAGCTTTTCAACGTAAGCGCAAATTTTTCATTTGTTTTTTTCCAAAAATCTCATGTACATAAAAGGCACATATTTTTAAATGGTAATTTCAAATCTCTTATTATGGGTCTATAAAACTTCCATTTAATCGTGCTACTGACCTTATTCATATAAACATAGATAAATTTTGATTTGAACTAAAATAAACCCATGATATAAATACTTTGATATTATTGTATTGTGTTTTTATATTTATAATCTTAACTCTTTATAGATATTGTGAATTGATAAAATTTCAACTGTCATTACCTGTGTTTACACGATGAATTTTACTTCAATGGTTGACTTCAATCCCCTTATCGAAATCGAATAGCTTTCTTTGCAAGGGGAAAGAAACGTATGTCATCCATTGATTGAAAAGTAGCCATGTAAACGAAGGGTTTTATTAATATAGACCATTCACAATCACATTCAAAATACATATTACACAAAGTCAAAGTTCGAGATTAGAATACTCGGGCTTTCTTTAATATTGCTATTTTATTCTATGTTATTATCCGTATGAATTATAATTGATTACATTCGCATGTGTATAAAAGAATTTAATATTATTTTTTTTTTAATATAATGCGGAACGGGAAGTTTTATGTTCGAACAATTTAACTGTATTCGTACTAGTACAAGTTAATGTGAATTTTTATATTCGTACATATGCGTATATTAATTAAACATTAATAATAAATTAATCCGAATTTAACAAAAACATAGTTATTCTATAAAATCTAAAACTACATGCATTAAGCAATTTAAACCACAAGAGTTAAGAGTGCAAACTAACCTAACTAGCAGTGTAATACAAATACGTATATGTATATGTATATATAGTAAATTAAATTAATTTCAAGGTAAATGCAAACATAGAAAATAGCCACAAGATTGTTTTAAACACATACCTACTTAATTTAATGTTTTAAATGGTAATCTTTGATTTTTTTTAAGTTTTTACTATTAAACTAGTTATAGTACTTTTAAAATAATTAGAAAGAATGTGTTTTAATAGTTATACTGTGCGCGTTTACCTGCGTCCGTTTAGCCTCATCAAGGCTATCTATCACCTCTCATATTCAGTCATTATTGAAATTTTAGTCCCCGGTATTTTATTTCTTCTACAGTATTAGGTCGATTGAACATTCTATTAGAATATCTTAATAGATGAAAATTATTTTCTTACCGAACATTGTTTCTTAATTGACCAGTTTTAATGAATTGACATGCTAGTAATTGACACATTTCAAAAATTATTCTTTCAATATTTTTACATTATTTTAATAGTCACGCATCTCAATAATTTTAAAAGAATCCTTATGATCACGCCAATTTTTGCATTTTGAATTTTTAATGGAAATTCATCTCTATGTACATACATTGTCTTCTTCTATGACTTCCGTACATAAATTTCAGCTGAACCAATATTTCGAAATAATTTAACGAAAAAAAAATCTAAATGCAATGTTCTGTTTTACGAGCTAATAATTTGTTCGACTGTATTTTTGCCCTTTAAAGTCCATATGTTCTAAATTTTTATTATAATACAATCCTATCATCCCATTATTCATTAATATCAAAAATTCCGTCTTTTTAAGAAGTTTGAATTAAAAATAGTCGTTCTATAATTAATTTTAATTTGAAAAACTTCATTTTGTTAATACTTCCTATTTCAAATTTGTCTTGATTAATTGCAGAGTATTACAATTTTAAATCCCACATATTTTATTTTTATTAAAAGTAAAAAGTTATAGATAATATTTACATGTGAATAAATTGTAGGAGTTGAAAAACAAATTTTTAAGAAATGGAATTTGAGAAGATTATAAAACTCAATTCATTTAATTTTAATTGCAGCAGAAGCTCGTCTTCGCAATATTTTCAATACATTCATGAAAATCATAAAAAACATGAAAATTTTGTAATTCACTAAAACAAAATTTATTTCTCCATTCCCGTTTTTATATTTCCCGTTATTATATTTAATAAATTGCGTGAATATACACCGTTTTTATTTAATTTTTTATTTCGCTTGTGCTAAAATTTTAAATTATAGATTCAATTAAGCTTTTTCCACTTTATTGCATATTGTTTATTTCAATAAGTTTTCAATAAATCACAAACAATCTAATCAAATTCTATTAAAAAATTTCAAATCACTTAAATAATTAGAAACTATTAAAGTACATATAAATTAATCGAAAACAAAATGAACAGTTTTTTTTTGATTTTTGCTTAATCAAAACCATTTATAAATTTTCTCGTACGTAGTATGCCTACATTGAAATCTACTAGTTGCCTTTTGCATCTACAAGAATCAGAGAGTAAGAAAATGGAAAGAAAATTAAAGTAGTAAGTATAGACAGTTTCGTTTTTTCAATCTTGTTTACATGAGTACGTGGGTTTGTGGAAAACGCACATGGAATTTAAGCTTTTTCTACTTTTCTAACTATTCAAGAAAAAAAATAAAAAAATTCAATAATATTTACGGAAAATTGATAATAATTGCAAAATATAATAAAATACTAATTCACATACACACTAACAAATATACGTTATATACCTATACAAAAACCTCTCTGTGTATATAATTCTATATACAGTATATACGCATATATACATGTATTAGAATCGTATAGCACGCATAGTAGCTTTATAGTAAAATAGTTTTTCAAAATTGTTTCAGTAGTTTTTTGAAATTCAAAGTGAATTGATGGGTTAAAAATAAAAGTTAATAATAATTTTTTAGTTATTTTTTATTTTGAAGAATAACAAAACAATATATTTAATAAATGATAACAAAAAAAAAATAATAATAAAATAAAAAATTTATTGATTGCCAATTATAAAAAATTCTTAAAGTTCAATTAATTGTTATTATTAATTTAAATAAAGAAAAAGAAACAGAATAAAATTTTACAATCAAAATGGAAATTATAATGCGATTTTTAGCTTCACTTCTAAATATATTTGGATTTTTTGTTTATTCAATAATTTATGTGATTACAAAATTTCGAAAAAGAAAAATTGTTCCACCAATTACAAATAAACTGCTTTTAATGCCGGCAATTGAATTGGCTGAAAAAATTCGTAAACAAGAGGTAAGTGACCCCGCAATTAATAAATTTTAAATTAAAAATTATATAGTAAAAGATCAAATACTTTAGTATGACTGTTGGTTGTATAAATTGATCGGATTGGAAAATAAAAGCAGCTTTAAGAAGAATCTTAAATTGAATATTTAGATTGCATGATTGAATGTTCATTGAAACTAATTTTAGAAATCATCTGAACCTTTCTCATCTGCGTTTAGAATTTTAATTCTTTTTGTAATTTTAAGGAAGTAGCAAATATACTTTACACGCTGATATACTGATATTATAATAATCTCAAAAATGAATAGATTATTTTTATGACAAATTTACAAGCAAAATATAAAATTAAGACTCTTTGAAACCTGCAAAACTATTGTTCTTCGTTCGAATTGGTTTCTTTTTTGAGTATGTCGAATTATAAGGCCTTTGGGGGTTTATATTTACCCACACCACTTAAATAATCACTCAGTTTTTAATAGTTTGAAAGTTCTGAGTACCATTGTGTAGTAGTGCTACACAGAAGAAAATTTTTGTACTTACATAACGAACAACATTTTTGAGGGACGCTATTATGGGTACTAAGATTTTAATTTAAAACAGCGCTACTCAAAAACAGTAATTTTATTGTGTACTTACAAAACTTGTCTTCTGTATAGCACTATAACCTATATACTTACTTACACAATGGCATCACCTAGTTGAAAGCTATAGCATATAATGTAGTTAAAAAAATATTTTCTTCGATATTATATTTTTCTTTAAATTTTGCTAAGCTTCAATAATTCAAAACATATGGACATGAGAAGATGCATATTTTTTACCCACTAACCCATTAATGTATTATACTTTCGGTTTTTCCAAGAATTATTTTATTAGGTCAATATTACAAAACATTATAAGTTTATTTAAACTGTTATATTATGATAATAATTTACGTATTATAGCGAATACATTAAATTTGTGAGGACATTATGAATTTTAAATAGATTTACGTGATTTGATTTGAATATAAGCAGCTATAATAATATAGAGGGTATTCATATTATAATATAAGATACTTGAACTGTTTCGTTTGACTAGATAGCTAAGTATAAATTAGAAATAATGATGTGAATTAAATTTAATGAGAAAATTATTTTTAACTGTACTTTTCCGGGTACATGTTTGCTTGACTATCATTTTAAGTAAAATAACAATTATGCTGAATTTGCATCACAAAAAAAGTAGCTTTTGGCTCAATGCCGCAAAGAATAGTGCTACTATTAAAATATGTAGGTAAATTAAATTTTGAAAAGCACATTATGCTTATATCTTTGCAGACTGACTATGAGTTAGAATAACATTATGAGAAAATCTCGTTTAAGGGTTTCATTTAAGTTTGTGTCATATTTAAGTGTAATTCGTAAATGTTCAATACGCTCTTCAATGTTCTTCTTTCAATTTCATTAAAATCGTGCTTTAAAAAATAAATGTTTTAAAGTTCTGTTATAGAATCGCTTTCACGATAATTAGAGCCATTTTACAGTTTTAGTACAATACCAAACTTATGTAAACTGTAATTTTTAAATAACTTTTAGTTCCACCTCTTGATGCTAGAATGACAATTAGTTTCTCTTAGTAACTTTTAAGAAGTATTCTATTAATTTTTATACAAAAATTTTAATAAAAATTTGAAATCTTCTATTTTTCTAAAAGCCATAAAAATTTAAATAAATTCTGTGTAGGGTAAACAAATAAAATACAACCACACGTGACAATAAATTTAAAATTATATTCTTACATACATGCATGTATGTATGTATGTCCGAAGGAATTTAATGAAGAAAAAACTTCAAATTTTCAAGTTCAAGTTCAAAATAAGCTTTTTATCTTTTTAGATTTTAAAAATATGTTCATTGATTATTATTAAAGTTGAACAGGTGAGAAATATCCGGGGCAAAATTTTTGGTATTTTTTTTTTCATTTTATGTACATATTAATAACATAAAATAAGTAAACAAAACAAAACAAAAAAAAATCGAAATATCTGGAAAAATAAAAGTTTAGATTAACCGGTTTTTCAAGATCGAACAGAGAACAAAAAGGTATATGTAATTATGAACTATTAAAGATCGTCGATCGTATATTAAACAAGTTTGATTTTTATGGTTTTTGGATAATAAAACAACATTAATATTGTAGGGTTTGAGGTATTTTCAAATAATTTTATAATTTCTAATATTTTTGCAAAAATTTTATGGCATTAGGGCAATTTACATTGTGCCTGTTTCAAATTCATTTTCTCAAAATATTAATGAACTAGTTTGGAAAGTATGAAATTTGCGTATTGCGATTTAGAGAAATTTTAAAAATTCCTTTAATTACCTTGAAAATTTATCCATATGTGACAAAATTAACAGAAGTAATAAGTAAACAAAAGCAGCATGGCGAATAATTTAAAAATCAGGGTAAAACGAACATGATTTGCAGAATTTGGTGGTTTTTTTATTTCAAATCTTTAAATGAAAATTTTTTTATTATTTTTCACAAATATTAATGGAAGATCCAGCAATAATCTATGTACATATATGTTTATATCTACATAGATGTTATCGTATATAGCGGTTAATATTTGTGTGTGGTTCTGACGCCTTATGAGATTTTTCGGCGCTTATTGCATATATAGTAAATCCGGTGCTGTTACTGGTGGCACGAAAAAATCTAAAACTTAATGTGAGTCCGATGAAAGTCGTATATGGGCATTTATAAATATTTCTTAATGTTTGACTCTATTCTACTTTCATTGAATTAACTGTCAGATTTTTTAAAAGTAAAATGACTACAATTATTTTTTTGAGAATATGGCACAACGTTCAGCTGTATCAGATAATTTCTGTTAGAACTTATCATAGATTTAGTTATCCTAGATCTTATCCTAGATTTTGTCATATAAGTAAATCTTCAATTAAGTATGAGAAAACAATATGCCTTTCCTACTGTTAAACGTATGGAGATTTGATTTAACGTAATTCACTTACAATTACTTAAATTATTTATATACATAACACAAAATGACGTTTAAAATCTAATACAGCTCATTAGAATGATATATATTGCAGTTATACATAATCTGCCCTACATACTTAGAATTCTGAACAATTATAATTTTATATATGAAAATCAGATGGCAATATTGTGTATTTTATTTCATAATTTATCAGTTGATTTAAATTTTAGTCTTAGTTCTCTATCACTTATACTACTCAATTATTTGCAATACATTTGTTAATACTGCTATATTAAGACAGTACACACTCCACTGCTATTATTACGCATAACTAGCACACAAACATACTTATACACTTACATACATATATATCTATTTACTTGGATTTTACATGCAATTTCAATCCCCTATATTGCATGATCTATTTAAGAAACAAGTAATTCTCATGTTTAAACATCAAAAGCAGAATAAAATTAAGTAATCGCTAATGAGCTAATAAACATGTAGACGCTCCAAAAGGAAATATAGTGCAATTAATTTATTTGCAAACATGGCGCGCGAAATACAATTAATTAATTTCATTCAATATACAAAAACAACATTAGATGAAACCTTGAATACTAAAATTACTTGAAAAATTTTACATTTAAATGCAAGTTTAAATTATTGTGAACAAGTTTACAAAACTAAATTACATTTAGTATACAAAAATTAAAATATTTTATTTTATTCTATATATGTAGCTACCTAATTAATTATTTATTTTAATAAACGCCATTTATTAATATTTTAACCGATAATCTCAATTTCCTGTAATGAATTGTAATCGCAACAGGTATGTTATAAAACTTATTAGAATATTACCTATTGTTATTTAACATAAGATACGTGCATGAACTGAATATACAAGTGCACAAATAATTAATAATATTACAATTTTCTCTCCATTTTTAATTTCTCCAATGATACAATAATTAAATTCAAATGTACAAAAGAAAAACCATAGATTTTAAAAAGTTTCATAGCCTTCCTTGACTGAAAGCTTTAATATTTATGCAAGGACCATACTTACAATAAACACGTTATCTATTTAACAGTGGTAATTATAACTTGCACAACTTTAATCTTCTATTATGACCAAATTTATACAGAAAATTTTTGATAATTTTATGATTTCTACAATTTTTTTAGCTGCTTCTACTCAATGTTCTATTGAACAAAATTTGAAACGATCGAACAGATGAACAGACCTAACCATTTAAATCAGCAATTTTAATTTCAATTAAAATAATTAATAAAAATTTTATAATGCTATATTTTTTTTCAATAATTTTATTAGATTAAATCTGAGAGTGTTGTACGTGCCTACATTGAACGTATTCAAGAAGTTGATCCATATTTAAATGCTGTTATAGAAAATCGTTTCTCTGAAGCTATTAAAGATGCCCAAAGAGCTGATGAATTATGTACTAAATTATCACAACAAGAAATTGCAACAAAGTATCCATTATTGGGAATTCCATTTACAGTTAAAGAATCTGTTGGATTAAAAGGTAATTAAATTATAAAGTTTTCATAATTTAATGGATTTTCATAATTGGGTAGGTCAAAAATTATGTATAAAAACCATTGTAATTTTGATGTCTTGTACAGCTCCCATGTATTTCTTGATTTAATAGATTTTTTGCAAAAAAACATAGTCAGCAGAAATTTTTGAATGAACAAAAGTCGACAACCGTCTTTGTTTCTCTGAAATTCTTAGATTTTGTTTGAGGATTGATGGAGCACTTTATAATTAAAATTTGCATGGAATTTGAACATTTTGAATTTTATTGTAACAAATTTTCGATAGAATGATTTTAAATCGATTTTAAATAGAAATAATAAAATAATCCCATGTACTATATAAATATGATAAAGTGTACAATATAAGTAGCACATACATATACACAATTACGTAAGATAAACGCGTCTTCTATATCCCAAATTTTGATCCTGGGAAATCCCGTAATACGCAAATACATATTAATTTCATAAAATTTCAAAAAATTAATTTTTTGGAACTCGTCCCCTGTACTTCTTATAAACACATTCACTTACAATAACATATATAATAAATAATGCCCATATGTGCATTTGACAAAAAAATAAATCCAAGTTCATATTACATAAGCTCCAGTTTTCAACGTCAATAAATCTATTTAATATCAAATTCAAATAAAATTAATATAAATTTCAAATTTCAAATGCAATGAGCTGCATATAAATTTTTTACCGACCGTATTGTGTAAACAATAGGTAGGTTATGTGATGGCAACAAATTTTGCATATCGAGTTTTCGGTGGGAATGCACTTCTCCATAGTAGGGAAGTGTAAATAAACTATTTTTAGCAACCTGTCGGTCTGTCGGTCTGTCGGTCTGTCGGTCTGTCGGTCTGTGTGTGCACGCGTGTATCTCAAGTTCTACTGAACCGATTTTTATGAAATTTTATATGTAAGTTTATTTCCACCATGGCACGGATCGATCAACTTTTGGTATATATCAGGCCTCGGGAACTGCACTTTTTAGCGGGCCTGTTTTACATTTTTGAACATTTTGAAGAAAGTATTCAACCGATTTACTTGAAATTTCATATATAAGCTTTGCTCGACCGTCCGCGAAACCTCCTAGCTTTTGGGACAAATCAGGCATCAGCAACTGGACGTTTACTACGGGCCAATTATACATTTTTGCGTATATAAAGAGAAATAATTGACCGATTTCATTGAATTTTAATACTTGAATTCCTCGTATTAAAGCAATGAATATTTAAATTTTTTGGAAAGATCAGGCATCGGCAATTAGACGTTTACTACGGGCCAAACATACACTTTTGTGTATATAAAGAGAAATAATCAACCGATTTCATTGAAATTTAATATATGAATTCCTCATACTAAAGCAATGAACATAAAAATTTTTTGGAAAGATCAGGGCTCGCAAACTGATGTGCGGGCCGATTTTACGTTTTTCACCATATCTACGGAACGAATTTATAGAATTTCTTGAAATTTGATATTTGAATTCTGGTTGTTACCGAAACTTACTGGCGAGCATTTCAGGGAATTCGAGTAGCACAAAGCGAAATTTTACTAAGAGCCAAATTTACATTTTTCTAGGTATATTAACTATAAGCTTACTAAAGTCCTAAAAAATGAAAAGAAGTATTTAACAGACATTTTTATAATATTCTGTAACACTTTCATTTAACTAGACAATACACAATGCGGTTGGTTATGTGCTGACCACATCAGATTTTTTTTTGATATTATCAAGTGTTAATTTTTGGCATAAAAACTGTAAACTTATTGCAAGTTAACGCTAAAATGTTCAAATTTTTTTACTTTTTACAATAATTTTCTTCATTTAATTTTAATTTCAGTATAAGTAATTGTATTTTATTCAAATACTTGCAAATATATACATATATACATATGTAGGCATGTATTTATAGCACACTTTGGATACAGGTTAATTACGCGCAAGTTATACCTGCTCTTATGAATACCTAATTAACTTTTTAAGAATTGTTATGTTTTTCTTATTTTCTTTACATTTTTACCCACTCTTGATTTCATATTACACCTATAATTTTAGATTTACTATGTATGTAGACATTAGTAAGATATAGAGAGTGAGAATATTGAGAAAGAATTTCTTAAATACTTAAACCTGCTTAAATTTAAATAAATTCGAAAATATTGTGTGATCAATTTTTCAAAGTTCACATTAATAACTTATTATGACCGGTTAATAGTTGCCAAAAATGACTGCACACAGATTTTGTTGTTTCTTTTTCTTTGAATAAACAAATAAGCAAAACAAATTTACATTCTTCGCATTAAAAATAAATAATTAAATAATTTATGGGTTATTCTAAAGTAAATAATATAAAAATTTTTTCACATTTTTTTTTTACTTAAGGTTGCTCACATGTTGTTGGTAATGTTCATCGAAAAGGATATCGTGCAATTAAAGATGGTGCTGTTGTTGAAAATTTAAAACAAGCTGGTTGTATACCATTATTAGTATCAAATAATCCAGAATTTTGTTTCAGTTGGGAAACTGATAATATTATAAACGGTACTTGTCATAATCCATATGATACAAGACGTAGTCCAGGAGGATCTTCTGGAGGTGAGGTATGTACATACAAATTTTGTTTTAACAAAATTTTTAATAATTAAAGAAAACTTATTTCTTTGAAGGCTGCCCTTATTGGTGCTGGTGCGTCATTATTTGGTATTGGATCAGATGTAGCTGGTTCAATAAGAGTTCCAGGTCTTTTCACTGGTATATTCGGACATAAACCAACCGGTGGATTTTTATCAACTGATGGACATTTTCCACGTCCGGAATGTGATAATGTTCGAATATTTTTGCAAGTTGGACCGATGGCAAGATATGCAAAAGATTTACCAATTTTAATGCAAATAATGGCTGGTGAAAATGCATATAAATTAAATTTAGAGAGACCTATTGCAACAAAAGATATTAAGGTGAACAAATTAATTTTTTTTTCGTAAATTTGTTTTAACAAATGACGAGTGTAGTGTAGATCATATCTTCTTATTATTTTAATTTTATTTCATATTTTAGGTGTTCTATTTGGAAGATTTACCCTTTAGTTTCTCAAGAATTCCAACTAGTTCTAATATTCAACTGTCTATTATGAGAGCTGTAAATTATTTGAAGAAAGTTGGACTGAAGACCGAAAAGGTTTGCTTAGTTTAAATTTTCATGAAAAAGATCAATTTCTAATTTTTTTAACTTTTTACTTTCTTTGTATAGGCAAATATACCAGAATTTTATAGAATTGAAGAAATTTCATTTGCAAATGTTGCTGATGTTACAAATGTTCCCAGCATTTTAGTTAATCCAAAAGATCCGGAGGTGAGATGTCCGATTTTCCACATAAGTTTTTACTATTAGACAAATATTTTTTGCTTAAATAATTTTCTCGTTTTAGAACTCAGATAATCTTTTCTTGGAAATTATGAAACACGTTATAGCAAAACCAAAATATTCTTTCGCTGCATTGGGATTTGATTTTCTTGTTTTAAGTAATCATAATTTTATACCAAAAAGAAATTTTCCAAAATGGGCAAAAAAACGTGATGAATTAAAGGCAAGCCTTATAAAAATGTTAGGAGAAGATGGTGTCCTTATATTACCAACATATAATAAACAAGCAATAATACAAAAAACATCACTAGTTAATATAACAGGTTTCGTATTTGTAGTAGCCTGGAATGTTTTAGGTTTTCCAGCTACTCATGTTACAATGGGTCTTGATGATAAAGGAATACCCGTTGGATTTCAAGTGGTTGCAGCACCTTATATGGACAAATTATGTTTACAAATAGCAACTGAATTAGAAGCTGCATTTGGTGGCTGGGTTCCACCAAAATCGAATATGTTAGATGAATCAAAAGAAGTACTGATAAAATCATGAGACTTATTTAACATTTTTTATTTTATATTTAAACATAATTTAGTATCTTTAGTAATATCGTAGGGTTGTTTTATGTTTTTATTTTTGAAAATTTACATTTTAAAAGAAAATGATAAAGTATAAAACATTGTAGTCATAAAGTGTGTTACAGTACGTAGGTTTATAAAAAAGAAATTTGTGTATTTTGTAAATATATTGTAAAAAAAAGAAGAAAAAAAGCGAACAAAATTAAAATTTGAACTAGAAAATTAAATTTCAATGCAAGATTTACTAGTTTTAGTCTACTTTACTAGATAAACCCCTCAATATTAACTCTAATTAGTCAAGTATTGCACCAATAATTAAAGCTTTTGTATCAGTCGAACAACTTCTTTTCTGTTCCCCCAATTCAAATGCTATAATTTTCTGCCAAATGTCTTCTTCCAAAACACGAAGGTGCTCAAACACTCTAAAAGTATTACTGAAAACGCAAATCTAGCAAAATACGTTCGAATATTAAATATGCAATTTCGTCATCACTTATATACTTAAAAAAACCTTCTTTTTCATGAGAATCTTTTACAAAACAATAAACTGAACGAAGCGTTAATATCTAATCTAATAAAAGGTCTGTGACATGAAATAATGGCAAAACTTATTACCAACTATCTTTTCGTGACATACGTACTTGCTAAAAAATATTCGAAAATTTCTGAATCTTCTGAAATTCTTTTATAAATGTAATCAACATTAACTTCTACTTCACAATCACTTATATTTTACCAGATTTTACATTCTGAAAACAACTGTCTAGTTTTAAAAAATGGGCCACTCCTAAACATATGCAATTAATTATGGCATCGACATAAAACAAATGTTCATATTAGATTAGAGACAATGACACAGTATGCGATAATTTAGACAGGGTTTAGATGTTTTAAATCTTACATACTTAAACAAATTCAAATTACTTTGTCAAGAGGACATTATTAAATGGAGGCACGTTCTAGTCTCATGCAATGAAATTCAATAAAGCAAATAATATTCTTACAAAAGTGAATTTTATTTACCAATATTGGAATTAATATTGGAAAAAACTGACCGGTTAAAATATTAAGGTTTAAGTCAGTCAATTTATTGCAAAACTGTTAACTGTTACGTTTCAGATGCAAGCATTTTCATCAAATTCAAATTTTTATTCAAATATTTGTAATTTAATTTAAAAGTAAAATGCTAAATTATTTTTTAAAATTATTGAAGACAGAAATTTTTATCATTTCAATTTCGAAATCTATTTTTTAAACAATATTTAAAATGCGTATTTATACTAACCTTAAACTTTTCCTGTTTATAATCCAATCCAATTTTAAATTTGACTTCATATAAAATTATTTCCTGTTAATTTGCCAACCCATTTTTCACTTCACTTCTCTTCTAGAATTTTTTAATTTACCATAACTTTCAGAAAAATTTTTGTCGAAAATTCCTTCATAAAATAAGCAAAGTAAAAATTATTTGTAAATCAACTTTTTTAATAAAAAATTTTTACCGGTACAATGCAGTTCCATTCTTCCAAATGTACTTGTCTTCACCTTATATTTTATTTCTTAAACTTTTCCAATATAAAAGTTACTAATCATAAATGCGATTTTGACGTTTTAAAAGAACAAAAATATTGTATTTTATTACTAAATTAATAAACATTTTTCCTTTAGAACAACTTTACATTTCATCGACAATTTGCATCGAGTCAAACGGTAGTCAGACGGAGTCTCCGTCCGCTTCGCTACTACTAAAACCAGAACAATTGAAGTTCGATTAATTAATAATTAATAAATTAAGATTAATTTATTAATGTGGAGTTGTTTACGGTTCACAAAATTTTCCATTCGTTTACAAATTTTTGCAAAATTTCCTTGTAAAATCTTTTGGAACCTTTTTATTAGACTGCTACAATGTGAATCATCAAACCCTTCTTCAACCCAGAAAAGTGAACAAGGCTGATTTGTAACTGCTATTCCTCTTGTATTTTAAAACAGTTTGCTGTAAAAATTTATTTTATTTTTGAAATGAAAAATCTTTAATATTTTTTGAAAATTTTCCATAAAATATTTTTGAATTTTAACAGATTACTAAGTTAAATTAGAATCAAAAATGTAAAAATTAAATATTCTTGAAAGCAATTATATCGTAGTTTGGGTTAGAAGACCAATTTTTAATATGTGTATGTGAATTCTAACAACAAGCAACAAACGTAATGGTACACTTTGCATATTTTCAAAATAATAACATACTATTTATGTTTCCCTTTGATAATACATATATAATTAAGTAGTAAGGAGTTAATTAGCACGAAGAAAATTACTACACATAGGAAAACTTCAATCCTTTATTGTACTCATTAATTTACCGGATAGATTTCTCTTAATTTATAAATGAAAAGATTAACTAAAATTATAGATACGGAAATTAAAATATGCTTAATATTTTAGCAAAAAAATATCCTTGTCAAATAACATTCACTTTAACAATTTCAATATTAATGAAGTTATTTACCATTTTTAAGGTAAGTAGAATAATGTTAATCTTAATTACAATAATCCCAATAATGAAAATTGTCATTTAACACAAAATTAAAATAAGACTCCGTGGCGCAACGGTAGCGCGTCTGACTCCAGATCAGAAGGTTGCGTGTTCAAATCACGTCGGGGTCAAATTTTTTAAATGTATTTCTTTTTTTTTATATTTTTTAACATAATTTTTTATAAATATAAATTTTTTTTAAAATTTATATTTACAAAAAACCATTATAAAATATTTGGGTACTTTTATTTTATGCACTGAATATTACATACAACTTGGACAATATATTATTACTATGCGAACAAATTGTTATTATCTAACTAAAACAAATACAAAAAATAAAATTCCATTTGTTTTTGCATTAATATCGTAAATTTTAAGTCGATCTACGTTTCGTTTGTAGCATGAAAATGCCATCCACTCATCTTAGACTTTGACTTCTCAAATCAAGGTTTCTTGTTATTTTGTGCTTTCCCCATATAAAATAATTGAAGATAAAATGCGTTTGCTATATTATGTGCTGTCATTAATTTAGTAATAAAACCAACTGTAAAATTAGAAGAACATTCTGATAAGACTACAATCAGATCAAATTTATTTATTAAAAAAAAATACATATATAAAAATTAGAAAAACAATTATTTTATAAAAAAAAAATAATTTTTGACCCCGACGTGATTTGAACACGCAACCTTCTGATCTGGAGTCAGACGCGCTACCGTTGCGCCACGGAGTCATATAATCATATTCCGTTAAATAAAATATATTAATACTACATATATATTTTCTTTAAACATTTTCTAAATATTGTAGAAAAATTATTTCTCTATTAAAGAAAATAAAATGGTTCTTATCACTACTTAAATAAATTCCACTTTAAATTCCACACTTAAACAAAATATTATTTCTTTTGATGTTTTCCCTATACAATTACCAAATACAACAATCGTATGGTTCGTGTTCTTACTAAAAATATTCACGTGATATCAATGATATTTTATATTAACAGTAATTTATTGTTGAAAATTTTTTAACAATATTGAATGAAAACACGTTTACAAAAGCAAATTGGTAAAAAATTAATTAAATAGCTGCAAACTTACATTACACTCTGTAATAACTCATTAATAAATATGTAATTTAAAAATTAATTATAAAAATAAGATTAAATATAAATTTTATTTTTATTTAAATTATGAAAGTTTTATTAACTTCATGAAACCGAAAAATCACAACCTATTGTTGATTTTTTTTTTATTAAACGCATCCATATCCTTATTGTTGATATTCTAGTAGTAAGGATTCGGTACATATGCAGGAGTTACTTAAAAATTACTTTTCTTGTCTGGCAGCTACATAATACCAAATTTTAATGAATAAATACATATTTTCGTCCTTTAAGGAATCCTGGAGCCATATATTGAGCACTATTATGCAAGTTTATTGCAAACAATTGGACTTACATTCAATAAATTTCCACGTTTTATGAATAAAAAGTTCACTATAAAGAATCAATTAAATAATTATTTATTTTGTTAATAAAAAATTCACCTTAATAAAGATTTCTTTCTATACATTTGACCTTTAAATTGAACATTAAATAAAAAATAAACAAACAAACAAAATCAAAAAACAAAAATTGTAATCCTAATAACATAAGGTATATTAAGCCTAATGAACCCACCTAACTAACAAATATAACAGGTTCTAATATATTTTCGTTATAAATTATTGCCATATTAATTTTTTGCTCCTCATTTATTTTTCTCTTCATTTTTTTTAACGTTTTTCCCTTTAAAAAGCACAAAATATCCAAGTTTTTTTTTTATAAGTATTTACAAACATATTGTGTGTATTGTTTGAAAAAGCATTCAATCATAAATTTAACCATCTTCAGACATAATAAAAAAAATAATAATAATAATAAAAAATCATAACACAAATCGCGAATGTAGTGAAATATACTTAATAATAAATAAAATAAAAAAACAAAACCAAACCATCGGCAGACACGAATTATTGAAGAAGAGAAAATTTTTTAAAAACTTTGACCTCATAAATTCTATATTATATGTATGTATATGTATATATAAATATAGTGTATAACCAAAATTAAAAAATATCAATGACATCACCAAAAAAAAAAAAGAACATATTCAAAAAGCACACAATTCAGGTGGATATACTCAATAATATTATGATGTTAAACATAATCATGATGGCGATTGCTTGATGGCATACCTACATACCAAAAACATACTTAAAAAATATTTTACAAAACCATTTGGTTTTTTTTTTGTTGTTTGTTTGTTTGGTATTCTTTTTTGCCTTTTATTCCATTCCCTTTTTTTCTTTTCCTTTTTTGTTTTTTTTTTTGCTACTTTTCTCTAATGATTATGAGTATTTCAGCCAAAATTAGATATGGCATCATTGTTGTTTTTTTTCTTTTCACTGGTATTCAATATTATGAAAATTTATATTTGAAGTGTCTTAAAGCTTTACTGTTCACCTGTTAAAATGTTTGCTATGCATTGCATTTTATGTTTAACCCTGTTGTTAACGAAGCAATATGTATAGTGGTAAATTATCTAAAATGTGTTAAAAAATGAAGCGAAAGAAGAAAAACATTTTCACACTTCAAATTGCAGAAATAACCAAAAAAAAAAAGCTTTGATTTCATTTA